CCAGGAAAAAATAAACATTTAGCATGCTTTTTTTCATGTGGTGGAATTAATTATGTTTATTGTCACTTACGTTTTCCATCTGGTTTTTTTTTCCCAGTGTTTCACAAACAGCATCTATATGTTTTATAATCCAAAAAAAAAATTATTTAAAAAGAAGTAACGATGGATTGATCCATTCTGTACCTGATGTAGAACCACATAAACACCCTGGATTCCAGAAACAGGCTTATTTCCTTTCACTCAGTGATACTTCTTTGAGGTCAAAGTCCCAGAGTTTGCTCCATCCCTTACAAAACAGCATGTGTGGAAATTTGGTTTTCCTTTTTGGGTAAAGTTTCTCCAGTGCTTGCTGATAAAGCTCTTTAATTTTACTTTCTGCAAAACAATTATTTCTGGAGCTAAACTGAGATGAAGCAGATAATGGGTCTCAATTCTTCAACCTTAAAGCAGACACTAGGGTCGTAAGTAAAGACATGGAGTCTTGAAATGTTCTCTCCTTCTGTGGAAGCCCAGAGAACCGAGGGGAAGGGCAGGCAAGACTTTCCACTTACTCTTCCTTTGAGTCTTGCAAAATGGTTTCCTTTCTTTCCAAGGTCCTTGCAGCACAGTAATTGCTAGATGTTTCTGAGGGGCCATCACCAGGACATCCATTAAAAAAACAAAAACAAAAACAGGACGCCTGGTAAATGTATCTCTGCCTGTGAGTGGAAAGCCCTTTTGCAGTGCTGATTGACATCTGCCTTTCAACCTGTATCTATCAAGTGTGCCCGATACAGGCTCACTCCCCAAACAGGTAGAAATACCTCTAACTAATCACCTCTCCTGTTTGCATTTCCTCTGACATCCCGACATGATCAGCCTTGACAGAAATCACACCATCACCCGAATTTTCTCTCCGTGTTTGATTCCAGCTGTGAAAGTTCAGGATGAGCTGGAGAATGTAAGCCCAGTTTGAAGTAGGGGAGAAATCTACTGGCACAGAATTAAAGCTATACTGTTTATTGAGGTTGTGCCAATAGCCGTCGTACTTAGCTCTCTGAGCCTGGCTTTTTTCCTTTCCTTTTCTTTCTTTCTTTTTTTTTTTTTTTTTTCTTTTTAATGAGGACAATTCTTCGAGCAATTCCCAAACGAAGGCACAAGAAAACTTTCTCAGTCTTTATGATGCTTTCATCAGATAAGCAATATAAAATATCTTCCAGAATACCATGTCTCCTCAGACCTTAGAGTTTGTTCTTGGGAAGTTGGAGATAAACGAAGATGGCCTTAATAAATCTATCTAACATTGTAAATACAGTGTTTCTGGTTATTTTTCCCCTTGAGGCAATAAGCCAGTTATCACCAATGATTCAGATATTCTGGCCTTTCTCAAAATTGTCACTGCAGCAAGAATATCATAACTTAGCAAACTGTTAGACAAAATCAGAATAATGCTTTTTAGTAGTTATGCCATAAATAAAAATCAGCTGCCTTCTGGAAATACCTATAACACACCTTCAAACGGGTATCGAATTTGGACTAAAAAGAAGCCCTTGAAGAGGGAAATGTTTCCCTTCTCAAAATGGATTTCCAGGGGCACCTGCCTGGCTCACTCGATAGAGTGTGCAACTGTTGATCTTGAAGTTGTGAGTTGGAGCCCCACATTGAGGGTAGTGTGTACTTAATTTTTAAAATGTTGTAATAAATAAAAAGTGAAATTCCAAGGAGAGCATTCAAACCTGACTTTGGGCAGCCATTAAGAAGGAAACATGGAAGAGTTGTGTTTGGGCAGGGAATGTTTGGGAGGGGGTTGTTTCATGGAAAGGTTTGTTTGCTGTTGAGGGTTCAGAGTACCTGTTCTCCTCTCCTGTAGAGCCGTTATCCCCTTACACTAGTTTGCTAGAACTGCCAGAATGAAGTACCACAGACTGGGTGGCTTAAACAATAGAAATTTACTTTCTCCCACTTCTGGAAGCTGGAAGTGGGAAATCAAGATGGCGGTTGATTTCTTCTAAAGCTTCTCTCCTCAGCTTATGGAAGGCGGGCATCTCCCTGTGTATTCTCATGATCTTCCCTCATACACGTCTGTGTCCTTTTGGGTTAGGGTCCACCCTAGTGACCTCATTTTAACTTAATTACCTCTTTTAAGACCTTACCTCCAGGAGTGCCTGGGTGGCTGAGTGCGTTAAGCCTCTGCCTTCGGCTCAGGTCATGATCTCAGGGTTCTGGGATCGAGCCCCGCATCAGGCTCTCTGCTCAGCGGGTAGCCTGCCTACCTCCGTCTGCCTCTCTGCCTGCTTGTGATCGCTCTGTCAAATAAGTAAATAAAATCTTAAAAAAAAAAAAAAAAAAAGACCTTACCTCCAAATACAGACATGTCCTGAAGTACCGGGGTTAGGACTTAAACATCTGAATTTGTGAAGGACACAGTTTAGCCACTAACAACTCTGAGTCAGGGTCTCCCTGCCAAATCTATAAGATCTTTTCTTTTGAATGGTTCTAAGGGTAAGCAAGAAAGCAGAAAGGTATTCTTGAATTTTCCACAAGACCTGGCTAGCTTCTGCAGCAACCTTTTTTGTTTTTCTCCTCCTTCAACATGGACAAATTTAAAAAGTGCATATCCCAGCAAGGAAATCTCTCTCCCTGTGTTTGCATATAAGTGATAGGAAGGAGCTGGTCAGTGAATCTGGTCAGTCAGAGGCATCACTGGCAGATACCCTAAGATCACCCCCCATCCCGTTTGCTGAGCACCCAACTCTGTACCAGGTGCTGACGTGTCCTCTCATTTACTTCTAACAGTCTTGTGAAGTAGGGACCATTCCCAAGACTGTTTTGCAGAGGAGATCATGGAATCACATGTGTGGAAAGGCCTAATACCCTGGCCAGCAAGGACTTGAACCCCAGTAGTCTCATTCCAGACCTGAGCCCTTAATATCTTCACAATACCTTTCCCTAGTCTTGCTGGCAGAGAAGAAACTTGTGTTTGGGGAGCGAACCATATTTTTCTGAGCACCCAATGCAAAGAATTTTCTCGGGGCTTCTTAGAAGACCTGGGTTCCAGCTTCAGCTCAGCCAACGCTTGCTAGCTAATCTTGTCTCCTAGTTATGTGAGATTGGGGAATTGGATTTGATCCATGCTTCTGAAACTTTCAGACTGAAATTCATAACGAGAAATACATTGTACTATGTGGTTCAGTACACACATGCACACACACCAGTACACGCATACACACACATGGCCACATACCCATGCAAACAGACCAGTACACACGCATACATGTGTGGGCCGTGTAACTGAAACAAATGTTCACGAATCACGCACCCACGTGAAATACATGTGAACGACCCTCTGGTCGTTTCTTTTCTCTTTCAGTTACTTTTGGAAACACTGATTCTGACCTACTCGAATGGGTCGGTCAAAAGCTGAACTAGATGACCCGGTTTGGACTTCCATAATCCTAAAACCCTGTTAGCCTAGGTGGATATTTCTTGGGTGCCTCTCATCTTGAATGCACAGACATTATTTGAGTGTTACCTATTAGAGAGAGGATAGCCCTTTTGCCTCCAGTCTGAGCGAATTGCATAATAGTAATAATAATCATATCCATTTACTGTGTACCTCCCATGTGCCAGAGGCTTAAAATGCTGTATCTCCTGTAGCCATGGGCTATAGGTATTACTATCTCTGACTTACAGATGAGGAGACCAAGACTCAGATTAAGGAATTTGATCAAGGTCGCTTAGGTAGTAAGTGGCAGAGCTGAGATTTGAACTGATGTCATTTTAATTCCAAAGTCCTTACATGCATTTCTTATAGGGGAAGGGGTAAAGAAGGAAAGTGAGGTCTGGAAACGGCTGTGGCTGAAAGCAATTTCTTCCCTAATGGTCTGCTGCCCCTGGCAGAAACAACTGTCTTTGGGGTCCTAAGCCACCACCATGGCGGTGATTAAAATCTGCACCTGGAGAACGTTTCCCAGCACGCTCCCCCACCCCAGGCCACCTCCAGACCAGTTAAGTCACAGTCTCGGGGGGTGGGACCCAGGCCTCTGTTTTTCAAAGCTCTCAGGTAATTTCAGCGTGTGGCCGAGGTTGAAAACCTTTGCTCTGAATTCTCAGTTAAAGATAGGAAGGAGTTTTAAGGGCTTTTCCACTTTTCTTCCTGCAAATGAGATTTAGTAAAATATTACCAGAATGTCTTCAGTGACTTTTACAAAGCTGAAGTACAGACCGTTTCTAGTTCTTTGGAGCACATTAAAAAAAAAAAAAAAAATCAGGTAACCTTGTATCTACTTCAAAACCAAAGTAGAGCTTGCTAAAGGGATGGATGGGGAGGTGTTCCAGTCACCTCCTTACCTCAACTCACATAATTTTGAAAATTGTTTTTACATGACTAAGGAAGTTAGTTTTTTAATTAATTAATCAGAAGCCAGAGTAACCAGTGGTCGTTGGCCAAGTTCATGGGGCACAATGTAGAAAGCCAAACCAGACCCAGGTTACTAAAGTTATAAGCAAATCCATTTTCTTAAAAAGAGCCCCTTGGAAGATTTTCAGTTTTTCACATGGATTACAGGTACTGTGGTCAAACCGAGGACCCTCCCTCACCACTGTGCCCACAGGAACAAGAACACACCTTTTGACTAACCTCTCACCCACCCTGGTTTTAGACCTGTGTCATTCCAGTATGTGATCTGTGCACCTCATTTGGAAATATGACTGACCATGCTCCGTGTCCCTGTGGTCTCTCCCAGATTCTCTAAAACAGGGGCTGTCTCATAGGGCTGGGTTTCGTCCATGTCTCCAGAGGACAGTTGTAATAATGTTAAAAATATGCACCATTTTCGTACTTCTGAGAATGAAAATACAGTATTCCCCCTAACAACAACAACAACAACAACAGCCTGTCCTATTCTGGAAGCCCCTGACGGATAGATGACAGGTCCCAAGCACTCCTGCTGAGGCCATGCTGGGTAGACGCCCTAGCTTCTGTTCTGCCCTTAGTCACAGTGCTCAATGTTTGCTTGCAGAAGGACGTGGCTGCACTTCTGAAACCGATATCAGAAAAGATTCAGGAAATCCAGACTTTCCGAGAGAGAAACCGGGGGAGTAAAATGTTCAATCATCTCTCAGCCGTCAGCGAAAGCATCCCTGCCCTCGGCTGGATAGCTGTGGTGAGTCCGTCCGCGTGGAATGGCACCCCATTCCAAAGCAGTGTTTCGGAAAACTTCTAGCTACCTTCGGGCTCCTTCTGTCTGTTACACTGCAGGGAAATCCTCTCAGGGTGAATGCCCCAGACCTTTCTTACCATGTTTACAGTTCAGGACTTTGTGTTCTGAGATGTGGAAATGTCTCACCCCCACCTCTTTACAGAGCAAAATGTTTGCCTCCTGACTTTCACTTAATATTTCCATGGCTTTTCTTCATCTTGAAGGCATGTTCTTTCTTATCCTATTTTTCTTTTTCCTTCTATGCTTGGGTGATGGTCCTGTTCTCTCAGTCCCCTAAGCCCGGTCCTTATGTCAAGGAGATGAATGACGCCGCCACCTTTTACACTAACAGGGTCCTAAAGGACTACAAACACAGGTACGTACCTTCCTTTTACTAGCCAAATTTCCAGGTGTTTGCTTGTCATACGTTTGTCCCAAAGCTTCATGTAGTTCACCCCTGATTCCTTTCAAAGGTGAGTTTTTGGTAAATGTTAAGGAAATATCCCATCTTTGCAGCTAAAGCCAAGTGGGAAGTGAGGTCCGTTATCCAGATAATGTATGTGCGTTAGAAAGTCTGACTCAGTTCTCTTGTGATGATAAACTCCCTACTTGAGTCCGTGTTGCCCCATATGTGTTTCCGCAGCAGCCAGAGAGCTCTGTGATGGCTCGTGAGGGACCCGCCCTAGAGGGTCACAGCTCTTTATGCTGCCCAAGACAGAGTTGGTGAGTGCAGAGAGAAGAAAGGAGAAATCAGGAAATGAAGTGTAAATGAGCAGCAGAAAGGAGATGTGACAATTAACCAGGCCACTGGAAGGGAGACCAGCAAGTACTTTAAGACAAAATACAATTGGGGTGGACAGACGTCTATAAAAAAAAGCAGTGCAGATGAGTCCAAACCAAGCTGGAGAACCAGCTTAAAAAGAGATCGCATTCTACAGTATGAATAATAGATCCTAGAGACACTTAAACTGGTGTTGGAATGGAAAATGGGATCGAGTAGAGACCTACGCTGTGTCTCTCAGCTACTCAGGGGATGTCATGGGATTTCTTCCCCTCTCCTACGTAATGTCATGGCTGGCCCTGTGAACACCTAGCTAAATGTGATGTGGCTGATGGCTAGTCACTCTGGGCAGGAATGGGACAAAAATAAAAGCAATAAAGTTCCATCCCCTGGGCGCCAGGCTCAAGAGTGGATCCCCCTTTGAGCCCTTGGGTGGTAGAAGCGGAAGTGCTCCTCGTCCAGCAAATGCACGGGCTCCTGCATCTCACTCGCTGGCCCAAGTTGAAGGAAACTTGAGGGCCAGGTCATTGACCAATATTACATACTCAAAATTTTGCGTAACTATTTCTCTTTTAGGTTATGTTTTATTTTTTTTAAGATTTTATTTATTTATTTGACAGAGATCACAAGTAGGCAGAGAGGCAGACAGAGAGAGAAGGGGGGAAGCAGGCTCCCTGCTGAGCAGAGAGCCCGATGCAGGACTTGATCCCAGGACCCTGAGATCATGACCTGAGCCGAAGGCAGAGGCTTAACCCGCTGAGCCACCCAGGGCCCCTAGGTTATGTTTTATTTTAATAAACACAGAGTAGATGTGAAAGAATATTTGTAAAATATACAAAAGATACCGTTGAAATGCAAAAAGACTTCTATGCCCACCACTCAGTTTAAGAAATATGTACCGATATTTTTTACTGCAAAAAGCAGACACACTCAGCAGTTCTACTCCCAGGTGTATTTCCAAAAGAAATGAAACATGTTCACACAAAACCTTGGACACAAATGTTCATAGCAGCTTTATTTATGATAGCCAAAAAGTGGAAACAATCCAACTGTTAGTCAATGGCAACAGATAAATGAAATGTATATCCATAAAATGGTATGTTATTCAGTCATTAAGAAAATGATGTATTGATACAAGAGCAACATGGATGCACCTTAAAATATCCTAAGTGAAAGAAGTCAGATGCAAAAAAAACAAAAAACAAACAAACAAAAAAAAAAACCAACCACATATTGAATGATTTCATTTATATGAAATTCCAGAACAGGCAAATCCAGAGAGACAGAAAATAGCTTAGCACCTGTCTGGGGCTGGGAAAGTTTGGGAAAAATGTGGAGTAACAGCTAATGGATATGAGATTTCTTTTTTTGAGGTAATATAATGTTGTAAAATTGACCAGTGATGGTTGTTTGATTCTGTTGACGTAATCTATTGGATTATATACCTTAAATGGGTGAATTGTATGGGATTTGAATTATATCTCAATAAAGCTATTATTAAACAAACAACAACAACAACAACAACAAAACCTCACAGCCACAGTGCTGAGCTCCTCTCCTAGAATTCGGTCATTCTGTGTTTGGGAAACAGGTGTTTGGGCAGTTGTGCCCAGTGCTACAACTCCGTGTTGAGTTAGGGACTGGGTGTTCCCTGTTTGTAGGAAACCTTCCCCTTGCAACAGCACCCTCCTTACCACTCTAAAATTCTCTAATTTCATGACTCTCTTGGCCAAATAATTCAGTCAGATTATTAGAAAACCAGCCAAAGGACTTTTTTTTTTTCTAATGCCATTCTCCTTTCTGAAAGCACATTGCTTTTCATTTTGCGTCACAAACAGTACGGAAGGAAATGGCCTCCCTCCATGTTCATCTCCCTGTTGGAGATCACAAGAGGACACATGGCCTAAATTGCTGGGTCCGCTCCCAGTGGTCCTCTCTGCCCCACGCCTGAAGCTCAGGGAGGACACTTGTCTCATCTCAGGAGAGACCTGGGTCACCGGCCTGTTGAGTCCTTTTCAGAATTGGTTCATGGGGACTGAACCAGAAGGACAATTGGCCCAGGGTCCTCCAGGGCCTTAGTTACTGGATTACCATGTTCCCACCAATCTTTTTTCAATTTTATTTTCAATCCTAACTCTACTCTCTTCCGCCTTCTTTTACAACAAAGTGATTTGCGTCACGTGGACTGGGTGAAGTCGTATTTGAGCATTTGGAGCGAGCTGCAAGCGTACATCAAGGAACACCACACCACAGGCCTTACTTGGAGCAAAACCGTAAGTGCCACACCCTCTGCCACCCAGGGAAAGAAACTCTGTAGAAATATTCATTCCTGGTAGCCTGGAAATGTCACACCTTAGAATTGACCTCAAGGAAAGCGTAAGATAAAATAGGTATGTAGAAACTGTGCAAGTGTCATTTGTCATGGAGCAATCTGGAGATTGCCTACAGGACAGCAGAAAGAAGATGGTTAAGTTGTCCATGCTAAGAACCCAACATTCTTCAGCCGTTGAAGGTAACATATAGGACAGGCACCTGGCTGGCTCAGTCAGTAGAATCAGTAGACTCTCGATCATGGGCTAATGAGTTTAAGCCCTGTTTTGGGTGTGGAGATTACTTAAGTAAATAAACATTTAAACTCTAACATGTATGATGTCTCCATAGGAAATAATTGACCAGCCAGCATGAGAGAATGCAAAAGGTTTTGAGCACTAAGATGGCATATATATTAAGAAACTGTGATAAAAATGAAAGGAAACAGGAAGGTTTTAAAAAAGGTTTAAAAATTTTTAAGGAGATAGAATGACTAATAAAAATGTCTTTTTATATGTTTTAAATTTCTCTTTTGGCATTCAAGATTTTTTGAATAATATTTTTGAATATTACTTGGGCAGTCCTGGTGCTTTGAGTAGTATCTGGGTCATAAAATAAAGTCCCAGCCTTTGAGATGTTGCCCATGACCTTGGCCCTGCCCTCATCTCCAGCCTTGTCTGTCCTCTCTTCCCGCCTCTCACTGCTTCCCAGCACTGCCAGACAATTATGGAGCCCTGAATACACGCAGATCAAATCAGATTGTCGTTGTTTCAAAGTCTGCAGATCTCAGATGGTTTAGCCCTTTTTGCAGTGTCCCAAACATATGTCGTGCTGTATGACCTTCCCGGGAATGGATGCCTCTCCTCCGTGCTTCCTTCGTATCTTGAGTATAGCTCAGCCATAGCCGTGCGCTCATACAGTTGTCATTTGTATGCGTGTGTTTTGGAGGCTCTCCCACTCAATTGGAAACTCATCTCTCTCTCCAGCCCCTAACATAGTACCTGGCACAGAGCAAGTACTCAGTGTATGGTTTGAAATGGTTTGAGGGGCGCCTGGGTGGTGCAGTCAGTTAAGCATCTCACTCTTGATTTCGGCTCAGGTCATGATCTCAGAGTCGTGAGATCAAGCCCCAGGTGGGGCTCCACACGCAGGGCAGTCTGCTTGTGATTCTCTCTCTCTCCTCTCCATCTCCCCCCCTTCCCCCGCCCTCACGCGCACACGCATTGTCTCTCCCTCTAAAATAAATAAATAAAATCTTTAAAAAATTTGGAGGTAGGGGACTCTTAGACTCTTCCTTGTCCTTTTAAGTGTCTGCACTTGTTATAGAAAGCCTTCCCATGGAACCGTCCTTCCGTTAGAAATTAATGTTACCTTTAAACGGTCAAAGTGGATGGTTCGACTGGACTTAATATTGAGAAAACAAAGTGGCAAATTTGTGAATTCCGTTCAGGGATAGAACTCTCATTCTCCCATGGTCGTGGTCTAGGTCCTAACTCTCATCTGAATGTTGATGTCCGTGAGGTTGGCTTAATACCAACACCAAGTCTGTGACTTTTCAAAGGAGCGTGGGACTTCTGCCTTTGCTCCCCAACACTTGTATAAACATTAACATTGACCTCCATAGACTAACACTTCCTCCTATTTTCTACTCTGTTTTCTCCATAAGCAAAAATGCACAGTTGCAAAGTACAACTAAATTGATTATTTTTCATCTGCCTATGATACTATGATTTTTTTTTTTAAAGATTCTACTTATTTGACAGAGATCACAAGTAGGCAAAGAGGCAGGCAGAGAGAGAGAGAGGAGAAAGCAGGCTCCCTGCTGAGCAGAAAGCCCGATACAAGGCTCAATCCCAGGACCCTGAGATCATGACCTGAGCCAAAGGCAGAGGCTTAACCCACTTGAACCACCCAGGCACCCTAGATATTACGATTTTTGAGAAGAGTTCATAAACACTTTAAGTGTTTTAATATGGAAAGGTATAATGGGGATGCAGGTGTGTGTTTGGGTGGATGGATTAGAATTATTTTTCTTACACTTCCAATGAGATACTGTCTTGTTACAGACCAGTTTGTCATAAAGGGGAATTGTCATGTGTTTGCTGTGGAAATAGGTCATCACTAGAGAGTAGTAAACTAAATAGCGAGAGTCCTTGGATGTCTTCTTATCATACTCATAGTAAATAAATGGAAAAGGAAAGAGAACCCATTTGTGGGAAATGGTCATGTTGACAAAAGCTAGGCAATTAATTTTCTCTTTTTTTTTGGCAATTAATTTTCTAATGGCACCCATAGAAAAGAAAATTACTTTTAAATGGCTTCAGTACCTTTTACCACACTGTACAAAGCTGAGTAATGGTGTTTTGAATATATAAGATAAGAATCAAATATTAGGGGCACCTGGGGGCTCAGTCGATTGAGCGTCTGACTCTTGATTTCTGCTCATGTCCTGATCTCAGGGTCATGAGCTCGAGCCCCATTTCGGCTCCATGCTGAACATGGGGCCTGCTTAAGATTCTCCCTCTCTCCTGCTCCTGCCCCCTCTAAAAAAAGAATCAAATATTAGTTATAGAAAAATAAGCATTGTTGTTTTCCTTTATTCTGGAGTGAATACTTATGTTTTCATTATTTTCATTAGAAATATAAGCCTTGTAACAATAGCTTTCAAATTTTTAAAGGCAACTAACAGTGAGAAATACAGTTCATTACTACATACACACCAGACACAACCAATTCACAACACTAAAACAAATTTTACAGAACACTTCTGTCTTTTAACATGTGAAATGTATTCAAATATTTTTTTCTATTTTATTTCGTTTCTTATAAAATTCTGGCTGAGACCCACTGAACTGATTTCATGACCCGACACATGGTACATTTTTAAAAACATGTTATAAAACATAAATGGCATATTTATACATGTGTGTATATATTTTACATAAAATATAATCCTTGGAGCAGGCATTGGGTGGCATGGATTGCCATAATAGTAGTAGCAGCTATTATGTATGGAGCACATGTTATGCTAATGGGAGAATATGATTTAAAATGGTAATTGTAAAAAAATAAGATAGTAATTGTAGGGGCACCTAGGTATCTCAGTCAACTAAGCGTCCGACTCTTAATTTTGGCTCAGGTCGTGATCTCAAGGTGGTGGGATCGAGCACCGTGTCGGGCTCTGAGCTGGGCGCGGAGCCTGCTTAATTAAGGTTCTCTCTCTCCTCTGCCCCTCTCCCCCTGTGCGCCTGTGTGTGCACACAGGTGCTCTCTCTTTCTCTCCCTTAAAAATAAATAAATAAATGAATGAATGAATGAATGAATGAAATGGTAATTGTTATAAACCAGAGCACCTGCTTCACTTCTTTAATGGGAAGGTTGTGACCAGATATTAAAAGTGGGTAAGGATTATGGTAAGAAAGTGTTGGTTCAGAGAACATCCTATATGTAAAATCTTTTTTTTAAATAAATATTTTATTTATTTATTTGACAGAAAGAGACAGTGAGAGAGGGAACACAAGCAGGGGGAGTGGGAGAGGGAGAAGCAGACTCCCTGTCGAGCAGGGAGCCCATATGGGGCTCAATCACAGGACCCTGGGATCATGACCTGAGCCAAAGGCAGACACTTAATGACTAAACCATCCAGGTGCCCCTGCAAAATACTTTAACAAGCTTTAAGACATACATATAGAAATACATTTCCTAATATTTTATTCCTCTTCTTCTAAGGTTTAGGGTAAAAAAAAAAAAATTACAAAGTATATTATAAAAACCAAAGATTTTGGGATGCCCCGGGGGGCTCAGTCAGTTAAACATCCACCTTCAGCTCAAGTCATGATCTCTGGGTCCTGGGATCAAAACCACATTGGGCTCCCTGCTCCAAGGGGAGCCTGCTTCTCCCTCCCCCTCACCTCCTCCCCCTGCTTGTGCTCTCTCTCTCTCTCTCTTTCTGACAGACAAATAAAATCTTAAACAACAAAAAAAAGTTTTTAATTTTAAATCCAAATGACTAAAAACCATTTAAAAGATTCCATAGTCCGAAGTAAGCTCGGACAGACCGTAGTCTGTCAACATAGCGGCAAAGTGAACGATAAACGTCTACAGCCAGAATCACAGCCTTCTTGTGAGGGCTGTTAGAATGCTCTGATCAGATGGCCTTTGGGAAGAAAAAATAAGTAGGAATAACTTCACGTCTTTGCCCGCTGATCACAGCCACACAGACAGAATGTATTTCTGAGACGACAGGGATCTGAGAGGACGTAGCAAGATGGGGTGTTGGCACTCACTGACACCACCATGCTCAGAAGGTTGAAGAAACACATTCCATTTTAAGGGACACAGTCAGAAAGCTTAGGGTGACTTAACATCTCCAGTGTTTAGAGTAACCCTTGTGTTTTCTCCATTTTCAAATCAGATGTTGAGGGTTGAGCCCTCGGGGGGTTTGGGGGCCCAGCAGCAGGCTGCTCGAGGCTCCGGACTCTCAGAAGTCATCGCTCCCCCTGAGTTCGCGACTGGGACTGGCCTTGCCAGCTCCCACCTCCTGACATTCGCCCTCAGACCACAGCTGTGTCAGGCAACTGTTGTTCCCTTCAGTTGTCAGGGCGAAATGTCAGACTTGGAGGCTGGCGATTCTTGGGGCCCGAGCCCAGAGCGAGGGTCTGTGCACAAGTGTGCGGGCGCGGGGGGCGAGCAGCAGCTGTGGGCTCATCTCTGTGGAACGTCCTGTGACATTTACTGCGGGAAATGACATCTCGTTTCTGCAAACTGTCCCTTACCAGCACCTCGATCCAGAAGGACCCGGCGCCAGAAGCAACCTGCAGTTCTCCCTTTAATTACTGGTGACCCTTTACGATATTAATTCACGTGGTGTCCTCAGCGCTGTGTCTCACACGGACTTTGTCGAATAAATCAGCCCTTTGGCAGGAGCCCAGGGGAGACCCTGTTACTTGTCATCCCTTGCAGT